TTTTCCACCACTTTTATTTTGTTATAACATATGTACACTTTAAGGTTACATTTACGTCTAGTAATTTCAGCAATAAAAAGTTTGGGAATTGATAAGGAACATAATTTTATTATCCGTCGAAGGTTGTCTGTACGCTAAGCGCCAATTCGTTAGCTGGACTTCTAGCTCAAAATAACTAACATTTTATTTATTTTTTTTTTTTTATTTGTTATGCATTCAAGTATTTCCCCCATTTAAATCGTTAATATGTGCTGGAAAACGTTACATTATGTGTTATATTGTTAAAAAAAAGGTTTTAAAATTTTTAATAAATTTGAGGTCTATTTCCGTTTTATTAGATTGTACACAGAATGGGTGGTGGGGGTATGGAATTCTCCGCCCGCCGTTAGCTGGCGATAGCTGTCTTCACGATCGTCCCTTCAAAGGTTGAGTCAATACAATTCTTATTTGAAGAATATAATTTACAGCTTATTTAATAATTGTAAATCATATGTCAGCTGTTTAATGTTTGTTAGATTTGTTATTATTTTTATAACCTTACTTTCAGTATGTAATTATTAATACTAGTGGTCGTCCTGTGGTCGAAACTCGACCAAAAATAATTAATGTACAGACTTCTCTATTTTCTCCCCACACTGTAAATAAAACATGTGATTGGGATTCCTTCCATTTGTTTTGATTTTCTGTTTACATTTTGTTGTTATTTCGTCACTGTCATGGCAACCCAGTTGGTCCATGTTAATGAAGTTTTCAAATTAGTTTTTTGTGCTTATTTTTTAGCCTATTTTAATTTATAAAGGGATTCTGCACATCTACAGGCAAATATCTTTCTAACAGTATGCGTAGATTTCCCCTGCGATGCACACGAGCTGAGAAAAAAGGTTTTAAAGAAACATGCTTGCCTATTAATATATAGATAGATAGGAGTTCCTGTACACACGATTTCAAACAAGGAAAAGTGAATTTGTTAAAGTTGTATACCACAACGTATTATTTGTAAATGTATATGAACATTATTTGTATTTTTTAGTGTAAATTTTTTATTTTAGAATAATGTGTTAGTTTCCCTGCAAAAATGTTGCTGAAAGTGTTTCTGAAGGAATGTGTTGATTGAGTTTTCAAGGAAAAGTGTATTTGTTAAAGTTGTATACCACGATGTATTATTTGTAAATGTATTTAAACATTATTTGTACTTTTTAGTGTCAATTTTGTATTTTCGAATAATGTGTTAGTTTTCCTGCGAAAGTGTTGCTGAAAGTGTTTCTGAAGGAAAGTGTTGATTGAGCTTAGTTTGAGTATGGAACATGAAATTAAACCCAAAGTAGGGGATGGAAACTGTTTGTTTCGATCAATATCATTTATTCTATACGGCCACCAGAACAATCATAGGGAAATCTGTTTGAAAGTTATCCAGAAAATTGTTAAAGAGTGGGAAAAATACAAAAATTTTATCGTAGGCGATGAGTCTTACTCAACATCAGTGTTTGACCGTCACCAATACTAAACTTTACTTTCCCGAGATGGCGAGTACGCTGGATACGTGGAACTACAATGTATCAGTGAGCTATACCCTAACTATTTATTTCGAGTACACAGGGAAGTTGCTGAAGAAACTGTGACTTATGACATTGGTTCTGGCGAAGAATTGTATGACTTGATGTTTAGTGGCAATGTTGACTCGGGTCATTACAGTGTTATAAAACTTTCTCATAATACCCAGGATGAAAAAAGTAGAAAAAGAAAAGGTAAAAAGTCATTAACTGGGCGTAAAGAGACAAACAGAACAAAAACACACGTAGAAAACCATCGAACTAAAAAAGTAAAGAGCAGTGATAGTGTATAATGTGCCCTGGATGTTCCTAAAAAAAAAAAAAAACTCTTTTGAATTGGGATCATTAAATTGGATTTGTCACTACTGCAAATCTTTGAATTTAGAGTCAGAACAGACTAACAGGGACACAAATGCGTTCTCCTTATGTTGTCACAAGGGGAAGGTAAAATTAGCCCCTTATCAACATTCGGAGTTTATGGAGAATCTTATTAACGGGACTACATCAAATGTAAAAGAAACAAAAAAACGATCAAGAAACTATTTGAATAATATAAGATCATACAACTCAGCTTTTGCTATGGTGAGTTCTGAGTCTCACTTAGATGAATCAACCACTTCAATCACTTAGATGAATGGTGGTATATATAACTTTAAAAGATCCATGACTCCTTTTACCATCGGATTGGACCGTTAATACCCTCTAACATTGAACCAAAGTATGCCCAACTCTATATATACGATGTTAACACCGCTGTTACTCACAGAATGGGTCAAAGGTCCAATGTGAAATGCGACCAGCTGCTGATGCATGATTTAAGTGAATATCTTTATTCCATCAATCCCTTCATATCTTCATTTAGAACTATGCCAGATATGTGTTGTAAATATGACTCTGAAATTCTTATGCATATAGTGGAAGACAAACTGTGTGACAGGAGACGCTACAATGATACCGTTCAAACAGATGTGGCTGTTATCTTCTGGTCAGAAGATGGTGCACCCCCTGGTGAGAGAAACTTAATTCAAGATCTAATGGTGTTCGTAAAATTTCTGTGATTGAGCCATCTTTAGACCCATTGGCCTATCCTCTGTTGTTCCCATATGGTGACTTTGGATGGAAACACCAAACAGAACATGACCGTTGTAGTGTAAATCAACGTAAAAAACTACATTACTGCAGTACGCATCCTATCGGCTTGCAATTCGTCCAGATTTCAGCCTATTGCATAGATCACAAAAACTCTACCTGCAATGGACAGTGGACATGTATTGTAGGATTGAGGGCATACGTTTAAACTATATTCGTTTCAATCAAAACAGCCTACGTGCTGATCTTTATCTAAATATTGCTGACTTTGTGCACAAAAGAAGTGGTCTTCAGGACGATGCTGTTGGAAAACAAATAATATTGCCTTATTCATTTATTGGATCTCCACGGAATATGCATCAACATTTTTTATTGCTGACATTATTCCCGTGGTGAAGCACGGGCTGTTAACTAGTATTTATAATTAAGGTACGGGTGATTATATTATAACCAAACTCTCAGTTGAAAAAATTCCACTTAGGGTCCATATTTTTACTGCAGTTAACAGTTTAACCAAATAATTAAGCTTAAATTTAGCTTAATTTTTGTTTTATTTTGAACATCAGAGAAACATTCAAAAAACTTTTTTCAAATATACTTTAAGAATAATGAAATTGATCGGAATTTAATAACGAATTCCAATATAGCATTCTTTTAGTTAATATATAAACAATAAACATGCTAATGAGGTAAAACCCTCATGATGTCCACTTAAACGTGCCCCCTGGCAGGACTAAAGTTGCAGCCTAAACTCACTAATTTTATGAGGAAGATATATTTCTTAATCCTGAAATTGGTCTCCCAAACCCACTGAGATTATCTCCTAAGTCTACTAGACTCCCAAACCAGAAATATTTAGGCGCGAGATTATCCCTGCCCAAGTTAGGTGCGGTCCCTAACTAAATCCGAGCTCGCAAACCTGTTTTCTAGGTGGCAGCCTAAATACTGGAAATGTCCAGTTCTTACGCGCAGACTAGCGCTAATAATACCGAGCTCCCAAACCGCCTCATAATCTCTGCTTCGGATGAACAATGATCAGGCAGAATTAATAGGTATTCAGTGTATTATAGCCTAACTTCTTGCAGGTTGGATATACATTGTTATTACTCAGTAACTCAATTTAGTGTTTCTTGTTATAGTTAGATAAAGAATCCTTGATTTCCTGGAATTTAAAAGGGTTAGTAAAAACAAAGAGAAAATGTCCAAGCAACACTTTGCACTTTCTCTGTTATCCAGTTGTTCATTCTGAAGCTACTGGAAAAAGCAGGAAAAATCAGAGATAATTAAAAATAATGCACCGCTATTACACTTATGATGTTTGATTTAACCATCATATAGGATGAGACCCCTCTGCTACTGACTGGTCTTCTTTGTTTTAGTAATAAATGATTCTTTAAAAAATTAGAAATCATATAACTTTTACAATTAACTGATTAATTAAGGCTAGTTAATAGTTAGTTAAGGCTAGTAATTTTAAGGCTAGTTTAAAATCTGCTTTGTTGTCAATACATAATCTACAAGGCATGTTTTTTATGTAAGTACCGTTTTTAAATTTCTCCGTTCCAGTGCTGCGATTGGCATTTTTGACATTTGTGCTGTGTACGTGCATCTATAGCCTGCGCCGAAAATTTGTCATCTTTACATCCGGTTTCGAGCATTCACAATGGTGCCGCCAATTGAGAATGTCGCCAGCTGTGAAGTGCGCGCTGTAATTAGATTTTTAAGTGCTAAACGTGTGAAAGCCGTTGAAACTCATCGACAGATTAGTGAAGTGTATGGTGAGAACATTATGAGTGACAGAATTGTACCAAGTGGTTAAGAGCATTTAAAGATGGTCGAACCAACATTCATCATGAGCTGTGCAATGGGCGGCCATCTGTCATTACTGATGACTTGGTTTGTAAAGTCGATGAAAAAGTGAGAGAGAACAGACGGTTTACGATCTCATCATTATCCCTTGCCCACTTGCGTACCATTCCGTCCCTCATTATGTTCTCGCCATACACTTCACTAATCTTTCGATGAATTTCAATGGCTTTCACACGTTTAGGACTTAAAAATTAATTACAGCGTGCACTTCACAGTCGGCGGCACCATTTTAAATGCTCGAAAACGGATGTAAACACGGCCGTTTGTCGACGGATTTGTGGCGCAGGCTTGCCAATAGATGCAAATACACAGCACAAATGTCCAAAATGCCAATTGCAGCGCTGGAACAGAGAAATTTAAAATCGGTACTTACTTAATAACATGCCTCGTAATTTTGAGGTAACTATAGTCAAAGAACAAACCTAAATGTTTAACAAAGTATCACTTTCACAAGCATGAATCAAATTAAATTACGATTTAATTTTGAATCAGTGTTTCAGGAAATGTTTTATGATGGCCATCCAAAGAGACCTCAGAAAAAACCAAACACTCTTCTCTTCATGAAACAATGGAATCTCTTGTAAAAATAAAGAAGTACGCACTTAATTAAGTTATTTTTTACCCACTGTCAAAACTCCAGATTCAAGGAGAAAATAAATTATGCCTAATTTAAAAACAAAATATGTATTAAGTGTATTTCAGTTAGCATATTTGTGTGAACTGAACCAGATAGTATATGTATTTTTGGTAAGAAAAATATAGACTAATTAAAGTTAAAATCTATCTGGGAAGAGCCAAAAGGAACCTTAAACTTGGCTCAGTTATGAAATAAGGATGAATATTTTCTCTGTCTGTCGAATGCTCGTGCTTTATTCTTGCAATAAACCTGATATTTTTTTAATATCTGTACAAAACAATGGTATATAGCGGATTTTAAAAATCACTCGAGATTGTGATGCACAACTATAGGAAAAGGAGAAGTGAATTTTTAATATAATGCCCCAAAAAATTATCAAAAATTATAATGATGTGACATGTAGAGTGTTACATGTCACATGTTGTAAAAGCATTTAATACTTTTTTTTTTTTGCAAAACAAATACTACTGGCAAGATTTACTGATTTGTAAAAGTATCTAATAATAAACTTTTAACACACCCTTATCAATGTAACAAAAAAGAAAGATAAATCATAAAAATCTATAAAACTAATCAACTAAAGTCAGCATTATTAAGTAAAGAAAAAAAAAAACATTGGTTACTGACTTATAAGCCACATTTACACAGGAGTTTGCAAATTTTGAGTAAAGTTTGGAGCAAAAGCTCACACCAGTTCAAAGAACTTTTGTTTTTTGATTAAATCATTCTGACGTTTTTAGCAGTTTTTCAGTATTTACAACAATTATTTTGTTTCCACAAGGAGTTGTTACATTATTTTGTTTACACCACACTACACTGTTTTAACAAACATCCCACGCAAGGGTTTAATCCAGAAATTAGCTGTTTGCCACCAACTTAATCAAAAGGGGGTTCATTACATACTACTGTACTGTAATGAGTTTGGACACCAACCAGCTGATTATATATGGCTATGAGTGGTTTAAACAAACACATAACCTCTCTTAGAGGTTATGAGTGATTGTTAGTCCTTTAGTCGTGAAAATATAAGGAATTGTATAGAGTTTTTATTGTTAATTTCGCTTAGAGTAATATGGCGCAAAATATTGTAGGCCAGTCACTCACCCAAAATGTGTTTACCGGACTCGTATGGTAATCCAGCACCCAACTTTGTCTGGAAGGTAATGACAACACTCTTCCTGTAAACCCTTTTTTTATAGGACTATTAACGTAATATACTATTACAGCAAGTTTGAAACATATTGCTGTTGTGTAGGCCTACTCTGGTGTAAAAGCGGTAGCTACTTGAGTCATGATGAGGCTATAGACTGAGCCAGGCACTGTGGGGTGAGTTTGTCAGCTGTACAATGCACAGTCAGCTGATATGACTGTAGAGCTGCAGCTGTGGTAGGTCCTATAGAAACCCACTGTAAAATAAATCAGACAAATAATTTATGCATTCAAGTTCTTCAACTAACCATCATTAAGTAGATTCATACAGTGTTAGGTATAATGTAATAATTAATAACGAGGGGGCCCGTTTGCAAATTGCACATTTTAATTGTGTTTAAAACTGGTTTCTGAAGCAAAATGAATAATGCAGTACATAGGGAATAAAACTACTACCGGTAATGTACTGGCTTAAATTAAATTTGTTTAGTTTGACATCCACAGTGAATAATTTACCTACCTCAATCAAGTTACAATAAAATAATATATAGTAGGATAGCTAAAATCAATCATTCATAAACGGTTTTGTCCCTTGTGTACATTCTGACTGTGGTTTACAAAACGCAAGAGGGCAAAGCCCTACAGGAAATTACCTTTTTAGTGACCATTCTTTCTCTGCTAGGTCATAAGCGTTCAAATGACACATCAGTTGGTAAAGGGGTGTAACAGTGAAACCCCTTATTGTATTAAGTACGGTATATAGATAGTTCAAATTATATAAAGTAATATACCAACTGACTCTTGAATACTGAAGTGCATACATCTCATCCATGAGCCACTCAAGAGTGTGCAATGTTTTGTTTACATTAGGTAAGTCAGACTTGGTTGGTGTAATTCAAAATATGTCATTAATTTACATCAGTACACTCTTTTTGAGGCTCAATTACACTATGTCAATTTTGCTTCTAAAACTGATCACAATTTTTAACATGGTGATGGAATGTCTAGTTCCCTAAATTGTCAAAGGTAATACCAGGGCCGGTTCTTGGAATTTTTCAGAGTCAAGCGAACACCCGAATCAGCGCCACATAGAACTCTCCCACCCCCATGAACATAACTTAATCCTATATGTGAAAATTTTTTCCCCAAACATTTTGGGTAGAACCTTTTTATAAGTTTAGGTTAGAAGAATACTTGTAATAAAAGAATTTTTTCAACTACTGTTTATTATTCACAAAAATTTAACACTTTTGCACTTTTACTCATCATATACACTTTAGCAAAACCCAAAGTCAACAATTTATTTCTACATGTGAAATCAATTTTTTCAGGATAACTTGGATACAATACAAGTTTTTATAAAGCCTATTGCAATGAAAAACAGGTGTAGGGTAGATGACAAGAGAGGAATTTTTAATTGAATACATTAAACATTTAGAAAACATGAAAAACCAAATTTAAGTATTACCTTGACAAAAAGAATACAGAATGTTCAATTTGAACAGTTCAAAAGTTCTTACCAGTTAAAAATTAACTCTCCTAGCTTTGATAATGGAAAATTCTTTAATTGCTGAGTCGGTATCAATCTGGTTCAGAACATCATTTTCTATTGCCATTAGTGATAAGCCAACCAAGTGCTCCTGCAAGATCGTAGACCTTATACATCTTGATGAGTTTTAACTTGGAGAATGACCGTTCACCGGTCGCCACAGAAACCGGCAAAGTTAGAAGAATCCTTAAACTTACAAAAATGTTAGGGAAAGTACGTAGCCATTGGTTGTAATGTAGCCTAAGGCTTCTGCTGGTAAACCTGCCTTTGAGTCGAACATCCGGGAAAAAAACTTCAAGCTCTTTGAAGAGGTCATTGCCACCAATATCTTGTTCTTCTCCGTCACTAAGAATAGTTTCTAAGAGTTGACATGCTGATCGCGCAACTTTGCACTTTCCCAGTCTTTTAGGGAACCAACTGCATACAAAAACTCAAACCCCTTGCTGGGTTCTTCTATTAGGTGGAATCTTTCTTTCAAAGACGCTATTGCTGTATCTAAAATAACAAAAAATAAGTTAACTTTGAACGACGTCTTCTCGTCCTGTACAGGCTATCAGTATAAAGTATCATCACTTTCATAGGAGAATTGTTTTTTACTTGTCTCGGTCGTACTTTCATTTCTTTAGCATCTCTTAGGTCGCGATAATCTCGAGCATGAGTCATGAAATAAACCCACAGGCACCACGCTGTACGCTGTGTCAGCTCACTACAAATCGAAACTGTAAATCAATGCCTTGAGTTGAAGTGCTGTACAAGTATACACATTTTTTCAAGTGCTATTGGTACAAACAGAATAAATGCCTTTGGTGTGGTGCTTTGAATACTTGAAACCAGAGCAAAAAAAAACAAAATTAAGTTGTTCACTTTTCAGTAAAGTTGTTTACAAAATTTAGAAAATTGTGCCCCGTTGGCGCCATATGCGAACGCGTAGTTCGCGTATGGGTTAAACCGGCCCTGGGTAATACTTGCATTATGCCATATAGAGTGATTCATTTCAAAGTATCAGTCCCAAAAAATCATGAAACTTCTTATAGAACACAATCAAGGCATCTGAATTACCTTGATTTTATCCAAGTCGATGTTTAATTTTTTCAATATAGGGTACGAGTAATGTATTCCTGAAGGACTAAAGAACGCCATATGAGTGGGTACAGTCTCAGCCAGAGCTGAACACAGAAGAGACTCTAGCTGGGGGTGAGGTACAGTCTCATACACCTCCACAGCCTCTGTACTCACTCCCCCCTCGGCCAGTAGCTTCTCTAGAGTGTCCATCTTCAGGTTGCCACAGGGCAGCAGCAACGGCTTACTGGGGGCACCTGCAGTCATCAGACAGATGAGACAGACATACTATGGGAGGAAACACACTAAAACAGGGACTACGAGACTGGCTGGTGGAACGACCTTATTCGATCAAAAAATTCTTTAATTTATACTTATAAAAGACAAATACCACTCACTTACTGATCACTGTATCTCAAAAAACTGCAAGCCGTAACAACTCAGAAATTGGCATGGAGGTTCCAATCAACCTCTAGGTGTGCAATAAGAAGCGTTTAAAATCAAGAAATTCCATCAGGGCTCTGCCCCAGTGGTTTTTTAAGTTCTCATGTTATCTTTATGGAGAAAAGATTTGTTTACATTTGAACACATGAGTACTTTTGAATCTGCACTATTAATTAAGGGAACAGCTGGTTATATTTTATCACACAAAATGAAAATATTTACATTAGCCCATTTTTGTGGCTTGAAAAAGTGTTTTACTACAAAACACATTTTTAATAGTAATGCCGGCTCCGGACATACACCATTCCCAAAGCACAAAATATTTTATGTTTGGCGACCTAGTTGTCTTGCTATTTGCCGAGTAACGAGTAGACGTCTACACACATGTGTTGTTTTCTGTGCAACCGTTAGTTTCGGGAATAGCAAATATATTCTTTCACTCTGATGTGTGCAAAAATACCGTCAATGAAAGGGAAAACACAAGCATAAATGTAGCTGCTTGCCACATTGGCGTCGCCAGCATCAGAACTTTGAGGGGGACAAGGGCGTGTCCTTCCGGGGGGTTTGCAAACGGGGGGTCCGGGGGCACTCCCCCGGAAAAATGTTTGAAAATACTGCCTCTGAAAACACTGTTTTAAGCATGGATTTAAAGAAAATACATAGTATTTCCTCTCAAAAAAATGTCTATATAATTAATATTTGTAACTATTTTGTCATATAAAAACATGTGTAAAGTTGTTACGTGACAAAAACAAAACACTGAGAGAGGTTAGGTAAAACCTTGTAAAACTTAGGTCGAAACAAAGCAACATACAGCACAGCTGCAAACGAGTGCAGAGACCAGAGAGGAAGAAAACATAGAGGAAACACAAAGAGGACGAAATTGCTCGCCTTTATGCCATTCAATTACTATATAACGTTGGATTGTTATTTTTATGATTATAATACCGTAGGCACACTTATTTATTCTAATAGTTATAACGGATTAAGAGGACCTTAATGATATGTGAAATCTTTGTCAGTTTGACGTACATTAAGTAAAGGAAATTTTTTGAAAAATTGTGATCTTAAAATGATGTTTGAACACAAATATTTAAACCCACAATCTTTCATTTTACAAGCAGGATTTTTATTGAAAACAATTGTTTTTGGCCTCAAAACATATTTAAGCATATAATTAAAACTGATACTAAATAAAATGTTTACACAGGTATTAGGTAAAAACGTATTTTCAGGTTTAATATGCTTTATTTAACACACACACACTCATATTACATTATAAACATTAACTTTTCTTTATTTCATTATTTACTATCCTTGATGGAACCAAAAACGTTTCTCCTAGTTTCGCATTTTGAAATGAACAGTTTTGCAACCCGTTTTTTGTCCACCTTGTCTAATACGTCTTTGTGGACGTAACCAAGAGCAACGTGATTCAATCTTTTTTGAGTCATGGTGGATCTGAGGTACGTCTTCAGTTTTCGCAGAGCACTAAAGCTTCGCTCTGCTTCACAACTTGAAGCTGGACACACAAGCATTAACCTCACCAGAACTTCAACATTGGAGAATAGCTCCCTCACCTCTTTCGTCATAGAGGTCAGAACGTCCTTGGCGTCTTTTAAATTCAGCACCTTGTTTCTTAGGTGGAAAAGCTCAAGTTCTGACTTCAACGTTTGAACGTTGATTTCCGGATATGGCGCTAGCACACTGACATCATAACCGTCTCTTCTTAGCAGGACTTTCTCGAGCTGAATCTGTTTTTTCATACCAGCCTGTTCAAGTATGCGAGTTTTGAGACCATGTACAGCCGTGTCAATGACTTCAAAGTACTCCCGTCTGAAATGTTCTTCTGTTGAAGTAAACTCGTAGCCGTAGTCATTAGCATTTCCCTCAGATATCTTTTTAGGCACTTTCTTTCGTCTTGGGAGCCTTAATTCTTCTAGGCCTAGCTCAGCTATGGACTTGGCACACTCTTCGTAGACAGAAGAAAACTGCTGGTTGGTTCTGAGGTTTTGCAGACCATCAACAATGAGTTTAACAGATTCATATAATCCAACCACTGTTTTCTTCTCACCTTGAAAACTTTTGTTCAGTAGTTCCAAAAGTTCAACAACTTTTCTACCCATAATCAGGCCTAAGTACGTGTTCCCATCTTCAAACACACTCAACAAACCACTGGCTCCTTCGTACTTACGTTCTGTGAGTTCATTCAAAGTTTTCAAAATTAATGGATACTTTTGCAAAATTTCATTGATTTGCCCTTTCCGGTATATCCATCTTGTGGGACACAGAGGTTTTATTTTTGCAATATTACTGACTGGACCTTGAGCTGCATCTTCAACTATATGTTTGTATTCATCTTTAGCTTTTGTGTTCGAAAACAATACTCCTAACTGATGAGCCCAATCCATTGCGTTTTTGACGGTTCTTGAAGTCTCACAGCTTGCTTTCATTACTAGATTGACACAGTGAGCACCACAGTGAATGTAGTCAGCAAGTGGTTGTTTCTCTATTATTACCGACTGAGTTCCTTTATGGATACCACTCATGTTACCAGCTCCATCGTAAGTTTGCCCACGAAGATTGGACAAAGGGAGCTCCAATCTAAGCAACACGTCAAAAATAAGAGCTGCTATATCTTTTCCACAGGTATTTGCCGATTCATAAAAGCCTAAAAAACTTTCATGAGGTTCGAGATCAGCATCAGCCCACCTGACACAAACACTGACCTGTTCATTGCCAGCAATATCTCGCGTCCCATCACAAATGACAGAGTACATCAAAGGGTTGCTTAATTTAATGCTCTGAACTATACTGGATATGATTTCATTTCCCAATATCTGTATGATTTCGTTTTGTATAGTAGGGTGAGTATAGGTAATATCTTTTTCTAGCCACCGTTTCAAAGACGGCTTGTCCTCACAGCGAACCTTCAATAGTTCCATTAGATTTCCTTCATCATTTTTGTGTCCTCTTACTGCCATACCTTGTCTAACGAGATACTTTACACTACTTATTATAGTCATAAGAGATTCTGAAGCAAGTTTTTGTTGTTCGAGTTTAACATGTGAGAGTTGTGACTCAATAGGTGCTTGTAACTGAGAGTAGCTTAAAACAGCTTGGCAATGAGCATCACTCGTTTGGTGGTTTCCAAACTTTTCAATAGCTTTTTTCCAGTTACTGAACCCTTTTTCACTAAAAGCCTTATCTGCTTTGGTAGCCAGCGTTTTTGCTGGGCACAACTGAGCATATCTTGTACAGTAAAAACAGCTTACCCCTTCAGCTCCAGCCACATGTAGCCAAGGAAATCTCTCATACCAACTGGTCTGAAATTTCAGCACTCTACCTGAAAGTTTTTGCACCGGAAAATCCCCTGGTAGAATTTGAGGCTGATGAGGAGAAGTGTGACGAATAGAGCAGTCAACTGATGCCACTACGTCTTGGTTGTTTCCTCCATCTTGCCGTGCTGATGGAGAGCAAACAAACGATGATACAGCTCCAGAATTTGATGGCGACAATATTTTCTTCTGTTCAGGTGTAAAATCGTGATCTTCGTCAGTTTCTTGATCTATAACAAAGTTACATTTTTAATAAGACTTCCGAACTACCTGTTAGAATAACAAATGACACCAAGATCACTTTTAAAATATTGTCTTCTGATTTAGGCCTACTTTTGGTAGGCCTATAATTTTTTTTAATTCTAATTCCGTAACATGAAATCAATAACTATCTACGGAAAAATTCTTGTTATCTTTTACAAAAATATATAATACTGTATTTACTTACCATTGTCCTTTTTTTGTTTTTAAAAAAATGATAACAAATTTCGTTGTCCTTCTGCTCGTTTCATTTTTCATTTGTCAAGAACCAGTTCAACGTACATACTTCCAAAAAGTTTAAATTAAAAGAACTGTATAACCGATACTACACATAAAACACACGAGGAGAAAAAGGTTAACTTAACGTACATCTAAATACTGTAGTATCAACAACTGCCGACTGAAACGCGAGAAGAAGAAGCAACGTCTAGACAAGCGTCTAGGGATCCAGTGCAACTCGAGGATCGTGGATCGGTACAGCCCCCCACCGCTGCACAACGTCGTACGCTTCCGATTCATACAGCGGAGCGAGCACCTTGCTTGCTGGCAGGGATCGATCAGGTGAACACGCATTCTGTATGATTTTTATAATTCCTTTTAAAATTTGCGACAGGGGGGACAAAACTGACTTTTCAAATATTGGGGGGGACGCGTCCCCCATGTCCCCTATGGCGGCGACGCCCGTGGCTTGCCAAATAGACAAACACCTATCCACACTACTCCTGTGTTCGGTGCTTGGTGAATGTCTGGAGCCGCCTTTAAATGAAGACATTGGACATTAGACATTATTTATTTGCACATAACATTCTTTTAGATGTGATAACATATAGAACAGGTACATTGTCAAAATTGAGCCTAGACTAGAAAAATACAAAGTAACAGGAAAAAGATACCTAGCCAAATAATGTTAATACAGTAGTTAAACAAATTAAAAAACAAAAAATTAACTCAAGGGATGGTTATAAAATTCTTCTATTTTATAAAACGCACGTTCAAGGAGTCCATTTTTCAATGTTTCTTGAAACTTGTTTGAACTCATTATTTTATAATATACCGGTAGTTTATTATACATTTTTAAACCTGCATACAAAGGACTTTTTTCAAATTAGGTCAAACGGTGATTTGGTAATCTGAAAAATTGTTTCGTTTCTTGTACTATAGTTGTGTGTGAATTTGAATGAATCCGGGAGGTTATTTTTTATATTGTGTATGTAATTTAATAATTCAAATATGTATACCGGTAGTCCTGTGAGTGTTTGGATTTTTAACCCTTTGAGTGCCAACGTCCGGGGAACCGGACGTTTTTAAAACGAGCCAAAAGTGCCGACGTCCGGCCGACCGGACGTTTTTAGAACGAGCCAAAAGTGCCAACGTCCGGCTGACCGGACGTTTCGTAATGATCGAACAGCTGTTATAACAACCGAACGGATACTCGGATTCTTTTAACCCATATATTAACATTGAGTCGAAAGTTACTAGATGCGATACATCGATTTTCGTTGGTCGAAATATCGAAAATTCGATTTTTACGAAATTTTAACCTAAAAACCGCCAGATCGCGCTCGGCACTTTTAGCGCGACCTTCGGGAAAAATCATCGGCATTTTTTGAGCGTTACTTTTATTTCTCGCCTGGCACTCTAAGGGTTAAATTTTGAAAATGTAATTTACAAGGACTTCTGGGGTGGGAGTTAGTCATAAATCGGATAATTCTTTTCTGAAGTCTGAAAATAGTTTTTGCATCAGTTGCCTGTCCCCACAAAATCACACCATACCTCAAGATGGATTCTACATAGGCATGATAAACCATTTTAAGTACTTCAATGGTGACACATTCTCTCAAGTGGACAAATACAGATGATGCAGATCTATTTTTTTTCTTTATAACATCTATATGCACCTTCCAGTTAATATGTTCATTTAGATGAATGCCTAGGAATTTATTTGAATGGACTAAATTGGAAAAACTATTTAATTCTCTTTCACTTCTGGCTGAAAATTTGATAATTTGGGTTTTATCCACATTGAGTTTAAAGCAATTAATTATTTTAAACCAATTTTCCATTTCTTTCATAACTTCTGTGAGAGATGTAAGAAGCTCTTCTCTATTATTTTCTTTAATGATTGCAGTAGTATCGTCAGCAAACAGAATCAGATCTCTATTAATAGCTTTAGGGAGGTCATTTATGTAAATTAAAAAGAAAAGGGGACCTAAAATGGAGCCTTGAAGCACCCCAAGCTTTATACATTTCCAATGTGAGAAATGCCTGGTTCCTCCATCAGAAATTACAGTTCTTTGTTTCCGATCTGAAAGGTATGATCTAATTAGGGAAAGACAACTTCCTGAAATTCCATAGTCATGTAGTTTTTGTAGCAAAAGCGAATGATCGACACAATCAAAGGCCTTGGACAGATCACAGAAGACACCAGCTGCATTCCTTGACCCATCCAAAGCCTCCGATACCTCATTAATAAAGTGTACAAGAGCTGTATTTGTTCCAAGGTTTTTCTTGAAACCAAATTGATTTTGATAAAACAGATTATTATGTTCAAAGAAACAAACTAATTGGTTATTTATAACTTTTTCAAAGACTTTAGAAAAATTGCTTAAAACTGATATTGGACTTTAATTGTTGATATCTGACCTAGAGCCTTTTTTGAAAATTTGAGTTATTTGTGAGTATTTAAGTTTGTCTGGGAAAATTTCATTTGTTAAACACTGATTTATGATAATAATTAAGGGTTCAGAAATTAAATTTACAGCAGTAGTCCAGTCGGCAGGTAGAAAAAAACAGGCGTTAAATTGAAAAAGGTCGGAAGTTAATGAAACTTGTGGATGTTGTTCAGGGATGATAAATCAACATTTTCCCAAGTTTTGGACCTCGAGGACCCTGTGGAAAAAAGATGGTGGGGGAAAAACTTCAAAATTTTGGACACTTTTTTGCTTTTTTCGTTTTTTCTCAATATTTTTTTTCCCTTACTTCCTACCGAAAAAGCATACATTACACTTTTGTAGAGCATTAAATTTCCTACAATTCTACAGTTCAGACATGTTTGTACAATAATTTGTTCCTGAGCAATATTTTTATTTTAATGTATTTAAAAAAAAAAATCACCAAATTATGAAAAAAAAACTGATTTCTTACATATTTTTTCTGTTGCACGCAAATTATCACTACATTTTGTAGTAATTATGGTTCCAAGTTATAAGCACCATATTTGGATACACCCTCCCCCACCATACTACCCACCCTTTCCAAACCCAACCCCAATTCTCAAATACTAATTTTGTTCTCCGATAAAAACCAACCATATTCAGATCTTTTTGGTATTGATATTAGTTACTCTTCGCAGCTGAGGTGTTATCGAAACCACCTGCTGTGTGGAGGAAAGGAGCAGAAACTTGGAGAGTAGAGGACACTGGGATATGTGCCTCTTTCACTTTTTATGAAGATATACGTTATTTGTATTAGTTCCTAATGTTGTCAAGAGAATAAGTGTGTCTACATTTTGAACAGTATTGACGACACTGTCGAATTCGCTAGCCTTGGATATGGCGGTGTTGACGATAATCACGTCGGCGTCCTTATATGCTTGTAGGAGTTTTGTTCCACACCACTTTATGTAACCTCTAATTACGTTATCAATTATCAATTATCAATTATCAATTATTTAAGATGGGGACGCCACTATGTGCGTATTTTAACCCAAATATGAGTGAAGGATGAGTGTAGGATGAGTGGCGCGATCTTGTAGTCTTGTTAGTGACTAAGGCCGACATGTTCCTTAGACACAGCTGTTAATTAATAGCCCATACAGCTAATGGCAACTAAGGGACCTACAGTTTATAGTGGAATCCGAACCACATTTTTCCTTGTAATTTACGAATTGGTCTAATTATCAGGATAGTACTGCGGATAGTCGTAGTACTCACTAGTGCGGACGTTAATCCACACCAGTGAGCATCGCATCCACATATATTTATTTATGTTATATTTACTGTTAACAAGGTTTACTTTTTCTATAGGAGTGAAGAGTGAGTACATTACAGACTTTGTTCCCTTGCACATTCCTTCCTCGATAAAGCTTGATATGGGTAAGGGGGCGAGTTCAAACTTAAAGACCTTATTTATATATTACTCAAATATTTTTGCAACGCAGACACGCTGGAAAAGAGTGAGAGGATAGACAGTGAGTTTTTTACCAGAAATTTTCAACAAGCATGAAACAGAAGTGAGAATCACCACCTCGTCCATCCGTTTGAGTTTCAATTCTTCAACATTTTTATCCATTATTTTCTTCATGCATGATATGCTTATCTCTCGTGCGAAGTGGCAGTTAACGTCAACATGACCAATGATTCCTGTGCTCAATGAAACTATCTCCTGGGAATTGGGGATGTTCAGTGAACCTTTCGAGCAGTTTATCAATGGCCATGTTGTCTCACACTACACGGGTTGGTCTCATGTCTAAATGTTGCTCAGATGATGTCTCTTAGCAAAAATCAGCGAACAATTCTACTTGGTCACAAATGCTTTGAAGACACAGCGTGCCTAATGTACATCTAGAAAGCACAGAATCGCTTACTCCGCGTCCACCAGTGAGTCCTCCATAGCTCTTCATAGCCCACGTGAGGAGCATATCTGGTAGACTACCAACCAAACGAGACTAAAACCAATATATAACTTCAAGCAACACAGTGCGGCAACACGACAGAGTATATGAGACAAAAATTACTAATTAGTGAGCAAAGATTAGTGAAGACAGAAAAGAAACTTTGCAGACTGATGGATGTTTTGATGATAGTGTTTAACAACATATTAATCATTGTAATTGTGAAATATCCTATAATACATAGAAATGTAATATTGTGGTAGTGTGAAACCAGGGTGTAGAAAGCCATCTTGATCAGCTGAGTGCGGGGTGGGTGAGGTATGGGAGTATCCGGATATGGTGCTTATAACCTGGAACGATAATTACTACAAAATTTAGTAATAATTTGCGTGCAACAGAAAAAATAAGTAGAAAATCTGGCTTTTTGCATATTTTGGTGTATTTTTAAAAATATATAAAAATACTATTGCTCAGTGACAAATTATCGTACAAACATGTTTGAACTGTAGAGTTGTAGGAAATTTAGCACTCTACAAAAGTGTAATGTATGCTTTTTCGGTAGGAAGTAAGGGAAAAAAGTTATTGAGAAAAAAGCAAAAAAGTGTCAAAAATTTTAAATTTTTTCTCCCACTATCTTTTTTCCACAGGGTTCTCGAGGTCCAAAACTTAGGAAAATGTTGATTTATCATCCCTGAACAACATCCCCAAGTTTCATTAACTTCCGACCTTTTTCCATCTAAAACTACCTGCTGACTGGACTACAGCTTTAATTAATTTGATTGGTACTTCATCCCAACCCACAGAAGTTTTGTTTTTTAGGGAAAGAATATTTTTTTTCACTTCGCCCTTCCTTACTAATCTGCTGCAGATTACAGAATGAAATTCCTTCATCTCTACAATAGTCTCGAACAGATTCATGAACTCCTTGCACGGTGGCCTTTGGTACATTAATGTTCAAAGCTGTTTCGGCAAAGAAATAAGTGTTAAATATTCTAGTTATATCCTGAGGATTACATATATCTTTGTCATTATTTATTAAAAATAATTTGCCATCAGTTTTGTTTTTTACGTGACCAAGTTCTTTATTAACAACTTGCCAAGCAGCTTTAGACTTATTTTCAGACTATTCTATGTAGTCACCATTTGCAGTTATTTTTGCCTTCTTTACTACTTTTTTAAAGATTTTTTTGTACTGTTTTACATACATTAAAAACTGTCTATCTTGATTATACTTAGCTTGCAAGTGGAGTTCCCAATTCTTTACACTAGATATTTTAATGAATAAAAAAACAAGATGTATAGGCCCTACTCAGGTTGAACATTTAGCTTTTTAATTTAAATTTTCTTGAGCGAAGCCACGATGGGTTTGTTAGTCTCTTAAAAAGATAAGACCAGAAAATACTTGTAAAGCAAGAAATCTAAAGAAACATGACACCATTGTATTTGTTAAAGAAATTACTAATACAGAATTTTGTCTATTGTTCACAGTAAGAGTGTAGTCACTATTTATTGGTGGCTTGGGAATTAATGTTTCCACTACCGTGATAATTCTTAAACTTCAATGCAACACTGATTCAACATTAAATCAATAACTACCTAACCGCTTATTAACTAAGTTTAAATTACTCCTAAAAAATTCAATGCATAATCTAAAAAATCTAGATTATATAGCTTCACAGGATGACAGATAAAACTAGGATATAGCAGGGCATTTACGTTTAGGTAGGCCCATTGAAAGGTCGTAATGTTTTTTTATTTTGTGTCTATCTTCTACTCCTTTAGCATTTCAAAATTTTTTTTGTTAGGGAACAGTGCAAACCCTGGTCATGTTACGATCTAATGCCCTTTTAGTGAATTTCGCTATGGGGAACTAGCTATTAACATAGGGGGCATGGTAAGACCTGCCCAGCGCCCAGGGCTGATTTAACTTTTCGTTTTGATATCCCCAGAAGCTAAAAACACTAGCTTTTTGTTCTAATTTGTATATATATATAGATTTTTATACGTGTGTGTGTGTGTGTGTGTGTGTGTGTGTGTGTGTCCATGAATGCGATAACTCATAGAAATTTTGGTCTGATTTTAATAAAATTTGGCTGAAGAAGAAGAATATGTTTATTATGTTTATTATCTGGAGTAGGGCAGGATAAACTTGCGAAGGAATAAACTTCACGACCAGCAAGATCGGGTCATGTGAACAGGATATTATAAAGTTTTCAAATGTTCAAAAATTGATATTTTCAAATTTTTAACCTTAAAACATGGAAATGCATGATTTTTAATACAACCATTGCATAGAACTTAAAAAATAAATAATTTTGTAGATTGAAGCGTTGTAAAATTAAATGCTACAGAGAAAATTAAAAAAAATATACATTTGATTGTCATGTTTATTATCTTACTAATATTATAAATGTGAAAGTTATTTGTGTGTTTGTTTGTTTGAAGTTCAATCACGCATTAACTACTGGACGGATTGGGCTGATATTTGGCATGATAATGGCTTACATTCCCGATTAACATATAGGCATATTCTTATCTCAAAAATCCTTTAGGGCTCCACCCCAGTGGCTCTGTAGTTCCCCATGTTAACCAGAACCTTATGAGTATTCATGATATTTAAAGGGAATAAACAAATTTAGTCAGCTGTTTCAAATAAAAAGGTTTGTTCTATGATATGCAAAAGCATTAAAAGGTTATAAGATTTACCAACAGGGTGCAGCACTATTTTTTTGCATCTATGAAAACAGCTAATATAATTTGAACTAAGCAGACACAAAAAACTGTGATACGCAATGAGAACTGTCAAAGAAGGATTGATTACAGTTATGTTTATTTTTTTAATTTCATGAATAATTTGTGATGCAAATTATTAATCATTTTTTTTAGTGGTAGAACATTATGGCTATGGTAGATGTGTAATACTATAGTATACCTTAAATTTTAAGAAGCGAATGTTATCAAACTGTGTCCTTCCCTATTGCAAACAGAATGCTTGAGCATAGCTGCAATAAACATTTTATACTTAAATGCCAACCTCATACGAAGGACGGGTACTCTGCTAGTTATTAATAAAAAGAAAACTGTTTGGATTTGCTTGTTTTATAAATAGGCTTATATGTTAATCAAACTTGTCAAAATTATTCATTTCATCCTAAGGGAACATTTGGACAAAAACAACTTTTTACTTTCATCGTAGCAGCAAAACTAAATAGTCATTAAATTTGTAATATTTAAAATGGGTAATAAATATGTTTTATTTATGGACATATTTAATTAACAATCCCATTAGGCAAATTGAAATTCGCTTAGTCTGCAGATTTGCTACAGCTGGGGGACTTGTTAAAGAGCATTGATTGATCAATGACAAATTACATCTTGGTTTGAAAACTATCTCTCTTGGATTCTTACCAGCAACTGAATGATTAGTTAACCACCAAGTTTTAACACTGATTCATGTAGGGGCCTACCCAAAGTAGATCTATATATTGTGTGTTTGAAATGTTCCAAATGTACATTGCCATTTAGAATGCTATAGGGCTTACATTTTCAATCAACATTAATATTATTGTTTACAAAATAGGCCTATATATCAAAGGATAAAAATCAGGGTAAAAACATTTTTTTCAATATACCTAGAGAAATACAGAAGAGAAACAGAGATCTTTAAACAAATAGATATTTTTACAAATAGATCTATATACCTGGCTGCAACACGCTTTACATTTGTAATAATACATTTTAGGGGACTAATAAATTGACAAAGTGGACTAAACTTGGGCATAATGTGACTTTTATAGAAAACTAGCTGGTCCGACAGACGTCGTCCTGTCCTAATGTGGTTTTATGTCAAATGCTCGTTCATTTTTAAGATGAGCTAATTTGCATCGGTCAATCACGTATACAACGATGTCACGTCATGGTTGAAGTTCGTTTGCTACGCTTACTCACCTTTAGGTTGCAGCTCGTTCGCTGCGCTCACTTGCCTTCTGGTTTAGCTCGTTTGCTACGCTAACTCGCCTCCAGGGTGAAGTTCGTTCGCTACGCTCACTCACCTTTTAGTAGCAAATTAGCTGTTGTCATACATTTAAAGAAATAATAGTGATGCACCCTGTAGGTTAACCTTTTAACTTTTTAATGCTATTGAACATCACATAATCAAATTGTTTAGTTGAACCAGCTGTTAAGATTCTTTAATTCCATTTAAATATAAGTACTCATAAGGTTAACATGGGAAACTCCTTTTGACGGATCTGCACCAAACTTCACACAAACCATCCTTGAATAATGCTTAATAATGCCTGAAAGTTTCATTACAATCTGTCGAGCGGTTTCGGAGTCCATAACGTTCAAATATATACAAAATTCCTCTTTTATATATAGATTTACCTATAAAAATGGAGTTGGTGGAAAGGGTGTTAGAGTAGGACTAAACATGATCAAGACACTATGCACTTCTAGAATTTCTGTAATTACTTACTGCTTAATATGATAGGTGCCAGGTTTACTCCATTTCCAGTGCAACTTCCTTGTGTATTGATTTGTAGGCATTCGTTTGCCAAGCAGGCTGTGGTTTCACCCACTGAAAAATTATTTAGGTCATGCCATTCTTTTCGTAAGTTGTCAGGAGTTCTAATTGCGTTAATCACAGCTCGTACACATCTTGGACTGGTAAAAATAAGACCTAGAATAGTTGTAGAATTAGGCCTATGGAAACTGCCAGCGAGGAAGTTTGCATTGTTAACTGTATGACACTGTAAGTCCAGGATCTGAAGGGGGTTGTGTATGCATGGAATGCCTGACACAATTTTACTTCTGATTCTTTTTACAGGCACTTTAGTGATCATGAAAACGCAAGTTGTTGCCTCCTAGCGTGGTCGACATCCCCGAGGGAGGGTGGGAATGTGGTGGGGTTTACTAAAACACTTAACAACTCAAGAACGGTTTTCGATAGAACATTGCAACAAGCACCAATTTAGAGGACTCATAAAAATATGGCCTTCAAAAAAGGTTATCATGTTCAAATTCGTATCTTGGTTGGTTTTTTAAGGGAATTTCCCATATAGGGAATAAGTTAAGCGTGATAAATCCCCATCAGTAAAAAGGTAGGTAATATAAATCCAGGTAAAATGAGACAAACTTTCTCTGTAACAGTACATCGTCATTAAACATACGATCCGTACCTAATAATTTAAAATGATCATAAAAAATTGTAATAAAAATTATAAATCCCATGTGTAGGCTAGGCTATAAACAATTACATATGGGCACTGGGCAGTGCCATAGTCTATCTGCAGAACCGACACTTCTAATTTTTTTTATGTAATCGCTTGAATTTCTATAAGTAGGCCTAGGCCTGTTTTTATTTTTTTATTACAAAATAAGTTTCAAAACTGGTTTATGCTTAGTATTGAATATTATTGCTTCAGCATAAAATAATATGCTACTGTGGAACCTTGATAAGAAGAACCTTGATAATAAGTAGGAACAAGTACAGTAACTTAAAAATTTTCAAATACCCTTGAATTTATTTCCCCCCAAAACACAATATGTTATTGAAAACCTCAATAAGAAACCAACCTTGATAAAAAGTCTTATTTAATAATCTTAATGAGAGTCTTGTTATCTAGGTTCTACTAGTATTACCTAATAAAAAAACCAACCAAGATACAAATTCAAACATTAGGGTACCGTATAACTTTTCTTGAAGGTCATATTTTTGTGAGTAATTTGGCATTTGTTTCAATGTTCTATCTAAAATGGTTCTCTAGTTATAAGCGTAATAGTAAAGGGCGCCCCCGCCATTCCCACTCTCCCTTGGGGATGTCAACCACGCGGGGGGACAACAACATGTGTTTTCATGTTCACTATAGTGCCTATAACAACCAGATATAAAATTGTGTCAGGCTTTAAAACATGCATAGGCCTACTCAACCCCCTTCAGATCCTGGACTAGTAATATTTAATCTTGCTACTGATCATAAGATACTACCTACAGAGTGTTTAAAGTCTTACATTCATCTCGCAACACAAGGGAGTTATGAAATAAGTTAGTCCCTTTCGGCTGACACACTAGGCCCGGCCTAACTTATTAACAGAGAGATAGATTTAGACAAATGAAATGTTTTGGTTAGAGCTATTGACAATAAATTATAGATCTGTAAAAATGTGGAACTACCTATCTTATTATGATTCCTAACTATTAATCTGTTAAGATATAGGCTAAGTAAGTCCCAAACCAAGTAAAATCTCAGGATGAAACCAAGTCTATTAGGTATAATAATACATAGGCCTAGCCCAAATTATTTGCAGTAGGCTAGTCTATATGTAAAAGTGAGAAGAAATGGCCAAACTTACTTACCAGAGAATTGTTCTGGATGGTTGAGTTTTTCATTTAATAATGCTAAGTTTTTAAATGAAAAATCCAATACAGGTATAGTTTTTGTGAAGATACCTCGCTTTTCTAATTCCTCAGTATAAGTATCTTTATCATTAGAGCTCACTTCGGTTGTGGATCGAAAAATAAAAACTGTTTTTCCTGAATCCTTCATATTAAGCTCAATATAGTAAAATAAAATATCACAATTGGCGTAGACTAATTATTCTATAATAAGATCTTTCCAATATGCTATGCTTGTATTATAAAAAGTATTGAAAGTGAGGTTAATGTTTGTTTATTTGTTTGACAATTCAAAGTTCCGTGTCCGTCGTCTGCTTTTTGCTGTTTTATTTACGTCAAATAAGCATCATAAATGCTTAAACATGAAGCTATGTAGGTCAATAACATTATTTCATTACTCAGAGGTGGTTCTAGAGAACGTGGACACCTTGATCTTGTTGTTACATCGTGCATGGATAAAACATGCTCCTTTAGTGGATTTCTCATCCTTATGGAACAGCTGCAGCAAATTTTAATGTTAGCTCTGTCCGGTGCACTGTAGGGATTCCCTATCTGTTCCATAGGGATCGTGTTTTGTTTACAATTTGTTTCTTGTTCTTGTTATACTTATATCAGTCATTTAAAACCAAACAGGCAAAAGGAAATTCGCTTAGTCTGTAGCACTGTAGGTTTGCTGTGGACAGGGTATTTTTGTTTTAAATTGGAACCATTTAAAAACAAGTTCTTTTTGATTGGTTTTATTTAAATAACACAATAAAATAGGCTGTTTGTTAGCGTCCACGCCATCAGTTTACAGTCGGCCGCAGCGTCGCCGCTTCTGATTGGTTTACACCACAATTCCTCTGTGACCGCTGCAAATAGCTTGCGGCTACTCGCCAGGCCTGTACTGTACTGTCACCATACGTCATAGCAACCTAGGTCTATATGGCAAAAATAACGAGTCAAGTAATAAAAAAATACTTGTTATATTTTGTAAAAAAATACTCTCCTTGCTTGCAGAATGAGTACGCTTTTTAGTAAGTTGTTAGCCAACTAAAACGACCTCGTTCAATAAGCAAGTGATATGTTTAAACTTAAACTTCTCTAGAGTTAGTTTAATTTGACTATGTTTTGGTATCACTGAGTATGAAAGACGTGGGTTAGTGTCATATACATATCATATCACTCATACCAAAACAACTGAATGCAGAGAGTGCTATAAGCTTTTTGTAAAATGTATTATAATTAAATAATTGTATTTTGTTACAGATATAACTTATTATATAATATATTTTAGATTGGTTTTAGTTTGTACAAGAATTATCAATTTGAAATTTGTTTGTGTAATAACACACATGTTCACTGTGTGTCGAAATGACCATGGTGAGTTTGGATTTAATATGTTCAGCCTTTATTGAGTTATCTGATTACATAGTTTGCATAAGGGCCGATCTCAAAGAGCTTCGCTCGCTTCGTTCAGTTGTTTAATTTTACAGATTATTACCATTGACTATACACAAAGTCAATGGTAATACTGATTAATTACACAGATTATTAATTATATATATTATGTGCAACATCTCCCTCAATTTACCCAACACACTTTTCTCTTTATGACTGTGATTTGGGACATTCAAAATCGGAGTTTAGTTCTGTTACGTGTTAACAAGGCCACACTCCTTGGTGTTAACATTTCTATCTTTCAGACCATATTTCAAATAAACTAATTTGTAATATACTCTCAATACATCAAATTTAGGTTGCGCTAAACTAGAACACACATTTAATAAAACCAGAGAAATTCCAAAAGCAATTATCTAATTAATGATTAATAACTGCTTAAAGCTAATTAATTAGCTCATGGCTATTACTTGCGTGCTTTCTTCTGGAGCCAGCAGGTTTGATAATCCAACAAAGAGGGCTGTACAGTATTCTGTTCTGGACTTGCTGATTTGCGGCGTGTTCTAGTAAATCGATAAAATCTACTATCATTGAAAACACATGACTTTAATTTAAGGGTACAATATTGGCTTTACTCAGTAAAAGGAGCGGAGAAGTGTTTTCTAATTAATCTAGTAGCAAATCTTCATATTTAAGCTTTCTAATGTGTGAACGTATTAGTAAAATTACTGTTTTATAAATTCACTTTTATTACTTCACACTAAGTGTACTTCATGCTTAAAGAAAAAAATTCTGATTGAGCAGTTAAAATTAAAATTAAATAAATAAATAAAATACATAACATTTGTAAAGATACAATGTATTTACATGCGGTTAAGAGTCATTCCAAAGGCTACCTGCTGTCAGGAAGCAACTAATTATTAGCCCAACATGGTAAATGGGTCAATAATCGATTCTTCTCGGAACTTAACTGACATTATCCTTCGGATTTTAAGGTGATAACATTAGCCATTCTGCTTTTAAATACAAATAATCCAGAAAGATAAAATAACTAGGTAGAATATGAATTTATCCAGAACTGTACACAAAGCGACCACGTAGACTATCAGAGTTAATACTTGCCAGGTTGGTATAAAGCTGCCATTAACAAGTGTTCAATCACAGTCAAAGTTACGATACAATAACTAGGTAGAATATGAATTTATCCAGTACTGTACACAAAGCGTCCTCGTACACTATCAGAGTTAATACTTGCCAGGTTGGTATAAAGCTGCCATTAACAAGTGTTCAATCACAGTCAAGTTACGATACAATAACTGGGTAGAATATGAATTTATCCAGTACTGTACACAAAGCGTCCTCGTAAACTATCAGAGTTAATACTTGCCAGGTTCGGTATAAAGCTGCCATAAACAAGTGTTCAATCACAGTCAAGTTACGATACAATAACTGGGTAGAATATGAATTTATCCAGTACTGTACACAAAGCGTCCTCGTAAACTATCAGAGTTAACAGTTAATACTTGCCAGGTTCGGTATAAAGCTGCCATAAACAAGTGTTCAATCACAGTCAAGCTACGATGGTAGTAAACCTTCCGTTCCGAATACACATCTAAATATAGACAAGTCTCGTACAATATCCGTCACTATAGAATGTGGTGAAGTTAAACAATCAATTAAATCTGTACTTAGTTTATAAATATTGTAATCCAAATTTCATTTTACTTGCCTTGCTTGAATCGGGATTGTTAATAAATGGTTATCTATTTAAATAAAGCATGTTTTCTCACAATTTACGATTACTTATAAAACAGTTTTTATTTATTCAAACCTTAATTTGTAAAATTTATTTGGTAAATACTAGCGCATTATTCCTACTTCAAAAGCGTTATTACCAAAAACGTTACTACCAAAAAATAACTAGGCTATTATTGAATTTGTAAAGTATAAATATATAATCCAAGGTAACTACATTTTAAACGAATACAATATTACGCATCTGAATACAGTGGAGCTGATCACACGGTCACAGAATCTAATTAAACTTGAATTAGTAATGAAATGACGGCTGTGACGAGCTGACGAGCAATACCTGTGTTTAATAATGAACTACTGCAATATTGGACGAGGACACTGCGATAGTGCAATGCATAGTTTGAACTGTTCAATTTGAAAATCACTTACGAATAATAATATACTTCACTGAGTGACATGATGAATTTCGCAGCGCGTCACAAAATGAATCAGTAAAATGAACGCCAATGAATAAACGATCAATGTTATTGTAGTGTTAGGTAGGCTCCAATACGCCGTTTCAAAAATGTAAAAATATATAAAACGTAATATCTTATCTTATCTTATCTTACTAATATTATAAATCTGAAAGTTTGTGAGTTTGTGTGTATGTTTGTGTGTATGTTTGTGTGTGTGTTTGTGTGTGTGTTTGTTGCTCAATCACGCATAAACTACTGGACGGATTGGGCTGAAATTTGGCATGATGATAGCTCACATTCCCGATTAACATTAAAGCATATTCTTATCTCAAAGACCCTTTCGGGCTCCGCCCCAGTGGCTCTGTAGTTTCCCATGTTAATCTTATGATTTTTCATATTTAAAAGGAATTAATGAATCTTAACAGCTGTCTCAATTAAACAAGTTGGTTCTGTTCTATGATGTTCAACAGCATAAAAGTTACAAGGATTACCAACAGGGTGCAGCACTATTAATTTTTTTTTTATTTATGACAACAGCTAATTTCCAACTAAAAGGTGAGTGAGCGTAGCGAACGAACTTCAACCTTGAGGCGAGTTAGCGTAGCGAACGAGCTAACCTGAAGGCATGTGAGCGCAGCGAACGAGCTCCAACCTAAAGGTGAGTGAGCGTAGCGAACGAACTTCAACCAGGACGTGAATGAGCCATGCAAATACTTATGAAGCTAAACGGGGCGAAGCCCGCGGGTACAGCTAGTATTTAATATATTCAATAACAGCGGGGGGAGGGGTATAGAAAATAAATATAAAATCTGATTTTAGTTACCGTATGATGTAATTATTTATAACTAATATTATAGTTGTAAGGTACCAAATTTTAAGGGGGGTAAAAACGTACTACGAATAAATGAACACCAGAACTTACCCGATTTTTAACCACAATAGCCTACTCCGATGCCTATGTGTTGGCCATAGCTTGGGCTATGGGCCAAAGAACGTAGGCCTACTTTTATTCACAGTGAAGTACACAAACACATCCACAACTACATATTTATTCATAATAGCACTTCGTTTCACATAATAAAGTTAAACCGACCGATTTTACAGATATTTAACGCCGCCGACGACATAACCCCAAACTGGTGTTTATTTGTTGACAGACGACAGACGAAACTAGACCAGCTCAACAAGTGAATTCGATCAGCTGTTATCTAGTAGTACTAAAGTTCGACGCTTGAGCGCGTAAGCCTCGAGCGGGCAGGAACGAAGGATTTTACTCCTACTCCAAGACAAGACAGGATGATTCGTTCGGGACCGCGTCTCGTTGTCCCCCCGTCTAGTTGTACCTACGACTACTTGTACCTCGAGGCCTAGGGACAACTAGTCGTAGGTACAACTAGACGTAGGTACAAGTAGACGGTGGCACACCCGACTAGTTGTACCTGCAGATTTTTAGGAGGGACAACTAGACGTAGGTACAAGTAGACGTAGGTACAACTAGACGTGTATCCCACCGACAAGTAGTATCACCTAGCTTGTACGGATGCGACCAGTTGTCCCTACGACTAGTGGTCCCTCCGTCTAGTGGTCCCTACGTCTAGTTGTACCTACGCGTATTTTGCGTCCTTATAGTCTAGTTGTATCTATCATTCAATTCGTTACCCTGTTTAATTTATTACTGTACGAGTACTTTTTAATAATGCCCTTAACTAAATCAGGACTGCAGTGTTCCGAGTCAATTTAGTATGATTTGCAAATATTTTTCACCGCACTACGACGTTTTAGTAGTTTTACAGACGTTAATTGGAGGCTGAAAGCTACGCATTGCTGTCCAGGGTCGAAATTACAGCTAAAGTTGTAATTAAAATTTTCCAGCCCTAGTC